GGAATTAAATTTGTGATTACTTTTGGTTTATGCAAAAGGATAGAGTTTTATTTTTCTATTTTAATGAAGTTATTATTTTTCATACACGAGAAGCTCTAAACTATAACTTGGTTTTCTTTCTAAATATGTGAGCATCTGATATAAATTAGTTACTGTTACATTGGATGATCGATTAACTGGAATCATAATAGATTAAAATGTATAAGACTAATTACACTAACTCTTCAAAATTCAACAAGAATTATTTGGATTTTCGAATTAAATCTTGTTGATTAAGAAAGGTGGTTCACTACTTCACTTCATAACAATTCTTGTATATAATTTAGCCAAAAACAAAAAAAATTCTTGTATATATGTAGAATCTTAGACAGCTACGTTGGTTGAGGAATCTCTTAGTTGGAATCTCGTGAATGCAAGCTCTAGTGGCCTGCACGCTTCTGAAAACGTATTAACATATCTTTAATCATTCATAATCGATCTTATTAATCTATATGTAGATATGCATTTGAGCGTGCGAGTCATATATGTAACTATGCAAGTCCATCTCAAATAACTATTTACAATTCATATAAAGTCTGTATAAGTAAAACTAACTTAAAGAACATTGGAATTTCGATGTTATGTAATTAGCAACATTCACTTTATAATAATATATTACATGAAATGCAAGTAATTTAGTGTTAAACACCACAGGATTTTAATTGTTAGAGTTAAAGAACTGTTGCAAAAAAAAAAAAAAACTCAACGTTTTATACACGACGATTAATTACTCACAAAATGATACTTATTCATTTGTCGTTCTTGTGAAGTATATACCATTTTATTGTAGCTTTTTAATAATGCATCTTTCAACTTTTGCTTTATAAAAGAGATAAAGGGACCAGTCTTTTATTGATTCACACATAATATATGTATGTCTTCAATGGATTACACATGCATATATGATATACCTAAGAATGTTCATGGCCCCCCTTACCCATCATGTTTTTATTTAGAAAACAGCCATAAAAAGTAAATAATTGAAATAAATAGTTAATCCCATTGACACCAATGTTTACATAAATATGTTTTTGAAATT